TTCAGAGCATTAATTCAGAGAAACTGGTATCACCTGGCCTTAATCAACTCCAAAAAAGAACAATGAGGTTATGGAGAGGAGAGAAACGACTTCAAAGATTATGAAAATATTGCCTACCTCATTCTAAGTTCTATGCCCAGCTCTTGATTCTTCAAGTCATCTTTGATCCTGCAAATGCATACAGAGGTGCTTAATCTTACTACTCTGAACAATTTCATTGATTTCAGTAGGACATCTGGAAGCAACAAAGTTAAGACCTTCTACAGGTGTTTGCATGAACAGGGCTCACATGGGTAAAGGGCTAGATCTGCCAAGGGGCCTATGCTCTTTAGAATAGGCTCCAGAACCCTATGCTAGGTGCATCTGCTCCCTATACATAGCATGGGAAGAAACAGTCACTTTTGAGTGGTATCTAGAGCAGCCAGTTTGTTCAATAGGAAGCTGCCCAAAGCCAGCACACTCAGCTTGTCAGCAGGACTAGCCAGCTGAAAATGGCGATGACCAGATAATCCCAGCCACCAGGGAAAACAACTGTGCATCACAATATAAATACCCAAGATATGGTTTTGGAGACACAAGCCCTTTTCCTGGAGTTATCTATATAAATTTATTAATGTTTGGATTCTTCTGATTTTCCCCTCTTTGGTCATCCCTTTCCCCTTTGTTCCTTTTTTAAAATAAGAATAACCATAACATACCCTTTACTTCCCCTCTAGCATGTCTGCTCATGCACCTTTCCCTAGTCTGTTACTTGTTCTTTCAATATCACTGTACATGATAACAAATAATCAATATAAACAATGTCAGTGCTTTATAAAATATGTAATCCCAATAATAGACCTACATATATTCATATATGCACATGTATATATGTATGTGCATACACACACACACATTCATATAGTATTTAAATATAGGCATTCTGAAGTATAGTTACAGTGTGGTTACAAATAATTAGGAATTTGTGTACAGTACATAATAGTTATTTAATACATGTCAAAACAATACAAAATTAATGAGGAAATGCTGAGGACAGTGGCGTGTCTGAAATTGTATTCCTTTCCTCTGACTGCTTGCTTTCTCTAGCCTAATGACACTTTAATTCTGTTCTAAATGGTGGAACAGCTTCAGCAGGTAGTATGCAGAGTGCCTTTTCCCAGAATAGCCTCTGCACTGACAGTTAGTGCATGCTTTCTGAAGGAAAGGAGAAACAGAGAGGTCTTGAACAGGGACTGGGACATCCCACCTACCAGAGGTAGGGACAATCTCGGGGATAGCTCTGTCAGGCCTTCAGTCAGTGCAGATGTAGTTAGGGATTTTCTGGAAGGGCTAGACATTTTTAAATCTGCAGGTCCAGATGCTCTCCACCCAAGGGTGCTGAGGGAGCTGGCAAGGGTCATCACGGAGCCCTTGGCCTGGTTGTATGAGCATTCGTGGTCATTTGGCCAGGTGCCGGGGGATTGGAAACTGGCTAATGTGGTCCCAATTCAAGAAAGGGAGGAAGGAGGACCCAAGTAACTATAGGCCTGTAAGCCTCACCTCGGTGCTCAGGAAGATCTTGGAGAGAATCATCAAGGAGCACATCTGTGGGGGGCCTGCAGGGGAGATCATGCTCAGGGGCAATCAGCAGGGGTTCATCAAAGGCAGGTCCTGCCTGAGCAACCTGATTGCCTTTTATGACCAAGTAACTAAATCCTTGGATGATGGTGTCACCATAGTCTTTCTAGACTTTAAGAAGGCCTTTGACACTGTCTCTCACCCCATCCTCATCAATAAATTAAGCGACTGTGGCATTGATGCCTACACAGTTGGATGGGTAAAAAATTGGCTGATGGGGCACACCCAGAGAGTAGTGGTGGACGGGTTGTACTCAACCTGGTAAGATGTGAGCAATGGGGTACCCCAGGGCTCATTCCTCGGGCCCGCACTGTTTAATTTGGACAAGGGGTGGAAAGCATGCTGTCCAAGATGTGGGGCGAGGTGGACACACTTGAAGGGAGAGAGAGGCTGTAAGTAGATTTAGACAGGCTACAGAAGTGGACAGATGAGAATAGGATGGGGTTCAACATAGA